GAATGGTGCAGATGTGCATGCTCGAGGAGGAGATTGTGGAACTGCTTTGAATGCAGCATCCGAAGGCGGTAGCCAACAAATATTCAGGATCCTCATTGAAAACGGTGCGGATAACAATGCCCTTTCCAACATTGCAGAATGTTTTTCAGGTATGTGTTTCTTTTCTCTATTTCTCGGATATAATTCAAGCTTATGGCATGCTAGTGGAGTAATGCAAGTGGGTGTATATATGTATCTGATGCTCCCAGTGTGTATTCACCTGCATTTGATGCCTCTTGCAGATTGTATCCTGTACCTATCCCCTTCCTGCACATATGTTATCAACTATCATGTCCCCCTGCTTCTTGCATTGATCCCATTCAGGACTCGGAATCCCCCGTTGCTGCCTGCTGTTCCGGAGGAAGCTCCTCCGATGGAACCTCGGTGGGACTGCGACTTCGCTCATTGATTCAGATTCTATGCTGGAGCCATACACGTTGTGGCCAAACTTGTACCTTCCCATGGCTAAGTCGGAATGAGCCGAACAATATTAACCTTATGCAGCGGCGTTGAACATGGAGACTCGGAAGTGGTGCATGGTGCATGCCTTCCGTTATGTGCAAGGTATATGTGGGTGGGAGGCCTTAGCCTGGGTTTGATTTCCAGCGTCCGAATCGCTTGAGGGCGAATTTTCCCTTTAGCTTGCTTCAGAGGCTGATTTTGAGTTTAAGATGATATTTTTTCGAACACTGCTACACGAGGTAAGTCCCGCTGCGGTATTTTGCGTGCTTACGCTTTGGCACATGGATAAAGGTGAGGACTTTGGGTATAGCGCATCCCGTGTTCCTTGTCACTCAATTATCGGAGTTACCTAAAATATATCGGGCCGGGATATTTTTTTTTCGCTGTTGATACAGTCGACTCCCTCATAACCCATAACCTGCAATAACCCATACTTTTTCCACTTCACCACCTCCGTTCCTATGGAAAATAGTAGCAAAACCCATAACATTCTAATACTCCATAACCCATATGTTTGTTGGGGGTCATAATCCATATGTTCCTAAAGATTTTTGATTTTTTGGTAGTCGTCCTACATAGAAATAGTATGGGACCTGTTTGACCATCATTATTGGGTGATGATTTGGGCTGATACACCTTTTTACCCCCACATTTATGCTCAATGAGACTTGATACCCTTCGCAAAAGCAACGATTTGGTCAAAGAAACTTCAAAAAAGCGGCCGGTTGAGCTTACACAATGTCTCAGGATTGAAGACAAGACACATCTGATTTTTGTTTATACATGACTATCTAAAATCTTTTGACAATTATTTCTCAACCTCCCTCGGAACCTGTACTCCCTGATAACCCACACCTTTCAGTGTCCACCAGGGGCTATAGGTTAAGAGGGAGTTGACTGTATCCCGTAGGATCCGTCTGCTGCACCCGCTCAATCCTTGTATGATGACTATCCGGCTCGAAGGCGGGCACCCCCAAAGGTGTTAACCAGCCCTAAGGAGTCCCTACTTACCCCGCTTCAAAACAAGGATGTCAACTCAGACGTGGTGTACGGTGCACGCACCTCTGCTATAGGTTCTCCCTGGCAAAGTGACAACACCCAGTCTGGGTTCAACTCCCGACGTCCAAATGGCTCAGAACTTTTGCAGATTTTTCCCCCATTCTCTGTCCCCTTCTTCTCGCGGTTCGAATTCAAGTTGGGTTCAATCCTACAGGGGCATATCTGGATTTTACCCGGAGATCAGATTGATTGTATCCCGCGTGGGAATCCATGGTCAGCCCAACCTCCCGAGAATAATTGCATGTGAATCAACAATACACGGCCAGCAAGGCGCCTCAGAAATATCTTGGTTTCCTTTCCCATGCGACAGTCCAGGAAATCTGATGTGTATGGCACATGTCAGCACATCTTGCACTCGCACTTAGTTCAAGCGGGAATGGGTTCGATTCCTAGCATCCCGGCATCCGAACACACATTAAGTACTTTTTATCTTCTATTCCCGTGCATGCTGACATTACGAGTACTTATAGTAATCGTTATTTTAATCAATCGACATGAGGTTTTTCAGGTGTGGTTAAAAATGTCCCAATTTAAGATTGCAATGCAAAATAGTGGCTGTGCTATATAAAATAGTGGCTATGTTGAATTTAAAATAGTGGCTGTCCTTTAAATCTGCTTCATATTCTGTGAAGCATTAGTGGCTGTGTTTGTGATTTGTAATTGGTTCAAATCGTCGGCTGTGTTTGAATCTCTCGAGGTGTCTTCTTTTTTTCGATGGTCATTTGCATATGTTAGGACTTTTAATATGCGCGTATAGATCACGTGTTGTTTGTCGGATTGCTGTACGCGCCACAATACGCCTGAATACACCAAGCGTCCGGATTATACATCGATGGGGTTGGGCCTAGTCCAATCAAGCTGCGTGATCATTGATCCGATCAACTTCTCGATTCAGCATCAAACTCAGTGGTACACGGCGCGTTTTCATAATTGCTCGGCCCCCTCCTGGTTATTCTTCGATCTGAGGAGACAGTTGCGTAGGTAACGTGCTCTCCTGTGTTTCCTTGTGCCAGATTTTATACTTTTCAAGTAAATGGCGAGATAATTGGAAAACACTGTGAACCTATGCACATTTGGCGGGGAGCCGCGATTTTCCTGATTGTCGGCCACACTGCTGGGTTGAAAAATATCTGAAGAGGGAGTTCCCAAACAATGAAAATTGTCTGTATTTGCTTGTGCCAGATTTCCCAGATCTTGGTTCTACGTCGAGATCTCGACAGAAACATCATTCTGTCGGCCAAATTGAGTAGCCGACATCTTCATGATCTCGGGATGAAGATGAAGTGGATGAGAAAGGTTAAGAGACAGATCTTCTTGGATTCATCAAGGCTGTGGTTGGTTGTAGCGAAATTCTAATAGCTGGTTTTCTCACTGAGCTAGTCGGACCTCGATGAACCATGTGTACCGTCCCGATTAAGAAGTACTTGAGAACAAACAACAACAAACCGTCACGCGGCTCGATTGATGTAGGCCCAACCCATATACAAAATAAATGACCAAGACGTAAAAAGCCCCGAGAAAAAAAAAAAAAGGGGGGACTATAAGTGCGAGTTTGCCGGGCCAGGCCGCGGCCTTCCGTAAGGTTTATTTCTGCTCAACCCGATGCGCTCACTGCGATAGGGGGAAAAAAGAGCGAAAGATGATAGAAATGTTTCACTGATATTTTCACTGAAAAACTTGAAATTCTCAACCAGTGTATGTATTTGAGCTCCGTTCAAGTTTTATTTCCCAAAGATTTATCCCAGCACCTGTACGCTCGCATTCAGAGAGGTCTCCCTTGCTTCGGATTCGTGCCGACTCTATGGACCATACCATTGCAAGTTGATTGACTTGTAAACCACATGAATTGAAATTCAACACTGCAGTTCAAACTGCGTATCAAAGTTCTACTGGGTGCTTGTTGCACAAGAATCACGCCTGATGCATAATATTCTGATTCCACTTGGATTTCACAGTTGAACTCATGGTGATTGTGTTGATGGGCATAACAAAACTAAAGAGCACTTGTCTTTTGAAGTCTACTCTGGATGTCCGCTACAGTATCATTGCTCTTTCCGCTCAAATGCAATGTCAGAATACGACTTCAGCCCTGAAGCCTCCCGGCGGCACCGCAAAATGCCCAGCCCCAGAACGATCTGTACGCCCCGCCGCCGCCAGACCTTTGCTCCCATATGCGGAAATACCTCGGCAAAAAACTGAAAGAAAGCATCTCAATGCACCTTTCAATTGCATTGAATTTCTTTTTGAAAGGGCTGCTGAAAGATGAATATTCAGCTTCCCTTTCATAGCTCATTGATGTGCAATAAATATGGGAAGTTTGAAAGAGCCGCTGATTGCAGCCCTTTCCATTGCAATGTCTGACTACTGTATTATTACATTCAATTTGACCGTCATGTGCCACTCCCCCTTGGTCGATGGCGAATATTGGTATTTCGTCACGCATCACCCACCCCTTGGTCGAATGTAATTTTTGTCACACAGGCGTCAAAACTGCTCCTCCGCAACGCGTAAATTTGTAAATTTTCGTTTCGGTGGTCGAAATTTCGATTCTCTCACGCGAGATTTTGGCCCTGGTTGAATGGTCGAAATGGTAATTCGGGTCACGTGTCACATCCCCGGTCGAATTGAATGCAATTATACAGTAACTGATAGAACATATTTCCCTGAACTTGATTAGGCTATTGATTTATACACTTTCAGCTAATACACTGGGTGAAGTAGAAAGTTTTCTTCATCCGGTGTGTAACATCTTGACCTAGGTCAAGATATTCCTTTATCTGAGGTGTAGGGTACACCCATGCTTTCAAGTCGAAATCAAAACAGCGTAAAATGGGAGATCTGGGTTGTGTCTGAATTATAGCGAACAGCCCTTTTTTCTTCCGCAAGGGCCCAGCTACCAAGTATATATCTACATAGATCACAAGACTTCTGCTTATGCCGCAAAATAAGGATCCTAGCTCAGATGTGGTGCACGGCACACAACCGCTTTGGGGTGGGCTTGCAGACATTAAAGGGGGAAGTTTAACTCCCAGCATCCGAATAAATGATGTGTTCCACTAACTCCGTTTTTCCTTAGCTTCGCTTTGCATCCAGTAGTTACACTGCTGCAATATGCACCCGTTGGATGTGGTACATCATGCATTCCCACTGCCTTCGGGTAAAGACCTTAATGTCAGCTTCCCTCCAGTTTGGCTTGCATGTGGATGAATTTCCGGTTTCAAGGTATCGATTGAGGACCTCGTAAGCGCCAAACCGGGGGACTGAAGGTGGAGAAAATGTGTGGAGTGTTTGGGAGAACTTCCAGTTTCGACAGCATTCCGTGGCTTTGGGAGCGGTGCGGTTATTATACACATTCGTTCAAACCTATGCACTATTCCAAGGGAGGAGGCAGTCAACAGCGCTGGCAGGGGCCAGGATCACATGGCCTCCACACGACCCTCGGTTGGATGGCCGAGCGGTCTAAGGCGCCAGATTAAGGTCCAGCTTCCACGTGAGGCTTCTCGATGGTGTATCGATTATCTGATCATCCGTGGCGTGGGTTTGAATCCCACTCCAATCAATTATTTTGCCAAACCTCCCCACCTTCCATCGATATCTGATTCGCGCCCATCGGATAGCGACGTCAGGATCAACATAAGCCTTGTATTTCCCTTGTTTTAATTTCGTATTTCACGAACGTTTCTCTACGTGAGACAGGCCGGACACTGTCGCGTCCCTCTCCTCGCTCTGCTAGATACATAATCTCCTTATTGGGACACAAACATAGTGGGTTTTTTTTTGCGGCCTTCGGCCGATGCCTCGTCGGAAATTTCCGAGCTTTGACGTGTCTCACTTGGGGTTGATGGCCGGGGCACGGCCCAGCAAACTTGTACTTATGTGCTCTTTTTTTTGGGGGAGGGCGGTGTCCACCTGCTTTACACTTGAGTGCACAATATGATTGCTGCATTATATATCGGATACACTAATGTGTCTCGGACTGGATCCAACATCCACATTTTATTCAAACTTGTCTCCATCCACAAAGGTACAAGCGGCATCCTCCGTGATCGTATCACCAGACTTGCACCAGACACCACTTGAATTACTTGAAGTGTCAATGTCAATGTGTTGAAGTGATATGCATTTGTTCAAGTGTGGGGATGTCCAAAGTACGAACCAATTATATTTATATGGCAGTGGTTAGGAAACCAGAGGCCCAGAGCGAAAGCGGTGCATCAGCCAACATTTGGCACCAAGTGCCACTGATCCATGCCCCATTACGGAGATTGCCGTTGGAGGAGGCCGAGTGGGCCCAAGGCAGGGGGAGGGCTCCAGGAGGTGCCAGGCAATGGGGACGTGGACGTCACGGTCAAGGATGCATGAGGCTGTGCTACGATATCCAGTCCTAACACGACCACACACATCAGGGAAAACCTCCCTGGCAATTTTCTGGAATTTTCTCGGAAAATTTTTATGGCCTCGCAAATTTAGGAAATTTCGGCAAATTTAGCCAAAATTCATTAGGATTGTCAGTAGATTTGTGTGTTTCCTGAAACTGCAGCTATTAGTTTCTGAATTTTCGATACATCATTGAATTCCCTAGTACAAAATGGTATACATATAACGACCAGTCCATGGATTCATGAAGAATGCCGGGCACTCGTCCAACAGCTGCCTCTGCCGACTCCCGACTCCGTCCACCGAGAGGACCAGGCCACCTGGTCCACCGTAGCTCACATGTTCGCAGAGTCAAGACAATGTCGTGGGTGAAGGGGCACCAAGTTTTCGCTCAGTCAAGGGTTCACATTACATGTGCCATCTTGCTAATAGAAACTTGAAGCCCGCCACATATGAACAGGTAGATGTAGGTAACAGGGCATGTTTATGTATAAGTAGGTAGGAGACCAGTAGCGGTGTACAACAGTAATGATCATATGCCAATTGAAACTGTAAAGCGGAACAGACATTTTTGCTTACTGCATAGCTGCGCATATCACATCCATATCGTCAAATGCTTCATCTGAAGTTATGTTCTCCACAGAGTTCATCTTTAGGACAAAGCTATTCCCTTGCCACTTCTCCCCTGGGTGCTCAAGCCATTTGTCAATGCATTGATTGATTGGGTGAGCGGAAATTGTGTCAAGTTCTTGGTGCATATAATAGATCTTCAAGTTCAAGTCCGGCCCAGCAACGATGGGGAAACAAAACTATTAGTGTGTCGTAGAGGGTTATCTTCAGGGTACTAAATCGCAGGCCTACGATTCAGTGTAGCTGAAAGGACCCAGAAAATTTTCAGGCTCAAAGGAGGGGTGGTGGCAGCAACACTTTGAATCCAATTCATAGCAGTGCCCGCCAGAATCTGATGGGGAACTAAACAAATGCACGGAACCGGGGCAATGGCTGTTCCCAGAATAATAACACAGACAACATAGGGATGTTGAGTGGATGCTTGAATAATTTGAGGCTCAAAGGAGAGGTGGTGGCAGCAAGGCGCCAAATTTAATTCCCAGCAACTTATGTGAGCATCTGATGGGGGGACCAAGCACATCGAATGCACAGAACCGGGGCAATCACTGTTGTAAGAATAATGATACTGACAACATACGGATGCTCAGTAGTTGCCTGAATATTTCTAGGTCCATGGGAGCGGTGGTGGCAGCAAGGCGCCGAATTTTTTTCAGCAGTGCACGTGAGCATCTGATGGTGGATCCAAAGTTATTTAACGTACGGAAACAGGGTAATCCCTGTTCCAAGAATAATAATTCTGACAACATACAGATTTTAGGTGGGTGCTTGAATATTACCAGGTTCAATGGAGCAGTGGTGGCAGCAAGGCGCCAAATTTAATTCCATGCATAGTTATTGCCACACAGGTACAACCAGAAATAAGTGACACCTGCAAGAATTGAACACAGTTGAAGATTGCTCACTGATTATGAAATACAAAGCACGGCCACTAAGTGCTCACAAAATATGAACAGGATTAAGGGACAGCCACTAAATGTGCTGTCAAAGAAATGCTAGAAAGTGATGTGAAACGTGAGGTATTTCAATCAAAATACGGAAAGCGGCTGCCTAGCTAGCAAATTATTACGTGCGTGCCATCTGCCTATGGCCTTTCGACGCGCTGTTTGAACCTACAACCTGCGAGGAGCGAGCGTCAACTGGTTGTAACGTCTGTCTACGAGACTACTTTGAGTCCTTAACCCATAGAATTTTCAACTTCTTTGCAATAAAAAAGTGTTGATCATAAGAACGTTACCGCAGTTACTTGAGTATCCTCCGCAGATGGTAATTCATAGAGCAGGGCTGAAACGTGGGATTAAATTCCGGTGGGCAGTCGGTGAGTCGGAAGGATTCGGAGCACGGGACAGAAGATCTGGCGCTTGTAGGCGCACCGCTCATTTACATAAGACGACGACATATTTCAATTACGAAGAAATTCAAGTTACATTGCCAGCATGCTACTAAACCACAGTTGTGGTCCATTTTTTGGCATCGTTCCAATCCCGCTCGCGCACCCACTTGGTCGGGCCGCTGCCCGACAGGCATATCCTCTGCAGGGCGAGGTTATGGTTGTAGCGGGTCCAACAATGAAGAATACCCCTGAGGTTCATCTCGTCCTCAGCATCTTCGAGTTCGACAAGTTCCTTGTGGCTTTTGACGACTTCTATCTCCACCATCAATTGACCATCGAGTCCGTTCAGCTCTCGCAGGTCATCAACGAGCGGGGCAACTGGCTGGATCTCTGCTCCTGATTCCTACTCTCGTAATCAGCATGCGCGAAGGACGATGGGACCGAATTCGAAACGACAAAAGCACATACCATCTCCTGCACAGTCTCTTCAACGCCATCCGCGGTGCGCTCGTCGACACTTGGTTCGGTTTCTCGTGGAACATGGAGGATACTGATCTCCCTCAGATGGGCGAGGTGCGGGATGAATTCGGTCCCAAGCTCCACAAGCGATTCCTAAAGTCTACAATCAGCATATGGTGATTAATTCCCGGCTGAGAGCGCACAGACCTCAGACGGCTGGTCTCTTGCATACGTGATCTCCAGGTGTTCGCATTGTGGGAGGGAAAGACAGGTGGACCGCACCACCGCAGTGTTCCAGACCGGGAGCTCCACCGACAAGCGCCGCACGGGGGCACTGCGTTCTTCCAGGAACTCAATAATTTCGATGGCCCGCTGACTGTCCTGTTTTATGACGATGTCCTCGAGAACGTGAGAGGCGGAGAGGATCAACGTCCCCAGCTCGGCCGTGCCGGTTCCCGCATACGTGATCTCGAGGCGCTCGCATCGCGGTATGCAATGCGAGACAGCTCGTGCAACCGTTGTGCTCCAAAATGGAAGCTCCAGTGAAAGCCGCCGCACGGGCATGTTTCGTTCCCGCAGGAGCTCGATAAAGTCTATGGCCCGCTCACTGTCCTGTTTGATGACGACGTGGTTGAGGGCGTAAGGCGAGGAGGCGAAGAGGACCAATTTCCCCGCGTCAGCCGAGGTGGTAATCTCCAGATGCTCGCACCGCGGTAAACAACGGAAGACGGACCGCACCACGGAGGTACTCCGAGTCCAAACTGGGAGGTGCACTGAAACTCGCCGCACAGGGGCGTCTCGTTCTGCCAGGAATTCAATGAGTTCTTTAGCCGCATGGTTATCTTGCTTGATAACGACGTTCTCGAGGTTATGGCAGGTGGCGAGGTCTAGCTTCCCGAGCTCCTCCGTGCCGGTTCCCGCATATATGATCTCCAGGCGCTCGCACTGCGGGAGGTAGCGGGAGATGACCCGGGCAGCCGCGCTGCTCCACAATGGGAGTTTCACCGAAAGGCCGCGCACCGGCGCGTTTCGTTCTTCCAAAAACTTGATAAGTTGGATGATTTGCGCGCTTTTCCCCGTACACGGATATCGTGGATGATGGGAGATGCAGCAAGCGCAACCAGACCCAGATCGGCTGTTCCGGTGTAATGTGTGAGGTGGGGCAGGCTGGGAGGGGGTGCGGTGTGATACGGGCTGAGAGCGTGGGTGGGATCATAACTGCTGAGATCTTCATCCGACATGAACGCTGTGAGAGACTGGAGCCGTGGTAGTGAGCGGAGGACTTCGCAAAGATAGCCTTTGGCGAGTGCTTCGCCGCCAGCCCAGGGGATTTTGATGGTCGGCGATGTTATACCGGAGGGGAAGACATCGGTGGCAAGGAAGCATCGCTCGATGTCAAGGGTGCGAAGGCGGGGAAGGAGGGATAATAGACCGGCACATGGCACCGGGTCCATGCTCAGGACGGGGTGCTCAGGTTTCACTAGGGAAACTTTGAGGCTTGTGACGTTCGAGATGTGTGTAGGGAGTCTGGATGGCCGGACAGGAAGTTGCGATAGTGCCAGAGGCAGGGCGCAGTAGTTCAGAGTGAGCTGCTTGAGTATAGGAAGCTCCTGGAGCACATCACAGAAGTCTGCTGGGATATATGCGTAGTCGATTGTCAATGCTTCAAGGTTCGAGAACGAGCGAATGCGGTCGAAAATGCGCGTAACCTGGTCTGCTGCCTTGATTAGATTCCCAGGACGGAATACCGCACACCACTTACC